CTCGCTTCGGGTGCGAGAGGTCCCGGTTTCGATCACCGGCTCAGCCCCCACAGTCTTTTACTTTTAGCCCTTCAATTTTGATTCTGAATATTTGATTTTGCAGTTTAATTGCTAAAGTTATCACTACTTCTTTAACAATAAGTAAAAACTATTTGGCCATTTATTTAAAGTACACATTTTTACTCTATTATAACTTAAATTAATCTAATTTCAGCCATTAAATTCTGTAATTGTCTTTTTCAAAATGTAGAAAAAAAGAATTTTAAGCAAGATACAAAAAATTTTTGCAAATAAATAAATGTAAGCATAAATAAAAATAATTAATAAATATCATTGAATGATTACTTTAATATTTATTGATAAATTGTAAGTACAATTATTTTTAGGCAATCCATCATTTACAAAGCGCAAATGCTTCCAATGTACTATGCCATTTAAATGCAATTTAGGCTTATGTTTTGGTGATTATTGCATTAAATCACTTGGTATTTCCTTTCAAAAGACTCTGTTTATAACTTAATAATAATATAATTAATTAATTTTAGAATGCATTGACATTAAGTAAACTATAGCATGAATGCTAATTACTCACATTTGCATACCTTTCAACAACTTTATCATGTTATGTATTATAATCAAATTTATAAAATGAAAAAAATTTTGCAAAATTATTTTTTTTCAGACTTTTTTTATGTGAAAAATATAGTATTTTTTGCAGCTAATAAGCAATATGTTAGCAAAGGATGTGGAAACAATACTTTCAGGTAACATTTTATCAAGAAATAGAATAAAAATTACATAATTTTTATTAAAAAAATTTTTTTTTTTAAATAATTCAAAAAATTGAAAAATATCTGATGACATATATGTTAAATTGTTTTGCCAGTTTTTCTATAAAAGAATCATTCTTTGATTGTTCATTTTAATGCACTTAGCAAGAATATGAATAATTTTTTGATTATTTTTACTGCTTATATTTTGATAAATTATAATAACTAAAAATACATAAGCATATTACTGCTCGATATTTATTCGCATAGAAATCAAATTTGCATACTTTTAAATTTGCATAATAATATTTTAAAAATTTGAATATAATTCTAAAAACATTTAAAATTTTAGACTAGTAAATGGAGAATCGTATTATATTCAGGAAAGTTCAGAATATATTGAAAAATCGCATTGCCTCACAGAGCATATGTTTGGTGTGGAAAATATTATTTGTTATTGTAATAATTTTGACTTTTGCAATGGAAGCGGAAATAAAGCAGAAAACATTGCAATCTTATCATTTTTCGTAATTTTATTCAATTTGATTTTTTGAATTAGAGTAATACTTTAAAACTATTATTATTTAAGTTTGAATTATTTATTCAACTTTTTTAATAATTATTTCTTAATAAAATATTCTATTTAGATAGTATAAAATGAATTATCAATTGTTTGAGTAATTATTTACAAATATTGTTGCATATATATTGTTATCAAAATGTTTGTTTTATTCAAATAATTATGATAATAACGATCAGTCTCTAAATAATATATAGATCATATGCAAATAAAATTTTATTATTGTTGTATGATTGCAATATTAGATCAGTTCTTAAAGTGTTGTATTCTGTTAAAATTTTAATTGCTTTCAAAATCATAAAACATTTTTAACAAGTACAAAAATTAAATAATCAAAAGTTGTTATCTTAATTAGATAACACATAATTTTATTGCTAATTATCATTGCAACTATTTAATGCTTTGTTAAAATCACTACAATAGCATTTATACTTCAATACTTGTTTAATTAAAATGCAAAAGAATTAATTTACTTTAAGTTACAAATCTTTTATTACAGTAATCAAGTAACGAAACAAAAATAAACAAACTATAAATATTTTTTAATGGTAAATTCATACTGTACAATATACAAACAATTATAATTAGAAACAATTTATATACTTGTAATTTGCAATTGATACATTCAATTTAAGCACAATATCACAATATTTGCAATGACTTTTTTATTCCAAATAAATAAAATAAATCTGATTACTTATTGTAGAATGACAGAAAGCACTTGTACCAATTTATAATTAGTTTTATAAGCATTTCAAATATGAACGATTTCTTGAAAAGCATTGAAATAAATGAAATATTTGAATCAAAATATGAATGATTTTACATGACAAAAAAATAAATGCTGAAAATGACTAACATATATTTTTGACCCGATTGATACACAGAAAAAATTTTTCATAGAATATTACTTCAAGTAATTATCACTATCTTACATTGATTACACTGAATTAATTGAACTGATTTAATCTAATAATATATGGCTAACTTTTTAGTAATCGGTGCCACATACAAGCTGGTAAACCCGTTTTTCGGATCATTTGTAACCAATGAGCACATCCGGGCCCAGTGCACATTGGGCCAATTACGCAATGACCTATTGGTATTGGTCCACTATTGCAATCTTCTGGATTAGTATCATACATCTGTAATAAGATTGCAATAAATTTCCACCAACATATTTAATTAACTTTTGTCTTCAAAAATTATTCCAGTAAATAATTAATTGCTTATTTAATCACTTTACTCAATTTATTAGCTTTTGTAAAAAAACAAAAAACAAAAAACAAATAATAACGTGCACAGATTTCTATATGATGAATCTAATTCATGAATCTTACAAATTTGCTTGTCATTTGAACATTGGTTAATTATTTGCAATTAAAAAAGTACAATTTTTAAACTGAAAAGATTTTAAGCAATTAAAATTTAAAGATAATTGGAATTTGAAGGAAAAAAAAAATGAATAATGCAAAAAATAAAAATAAATGATAAATTTTGCTTGTGCACATTTGCAATTAATTAAACATTTGTGCTTCAATTATTATTTTTAAATTATTAGCTATTTGATTTTAATAATTATCGTATAATTTTGACACAAATAAATGTAAACGAAAATGATTAAATGATCAGAAAAAATAACTAATAATTTTTAATTTGCTTTTTGTTATAAAAAATTTTTGGCATTTTTCAATAAAATAATCTTAAAGATTAGCATAAAATAAACTTCAATCACGATATGACATCTGTCGAGCATTTCAGGAGTTACATGAAACAAAAAAGATTCTGAAAAGATCACGTCCGTAGATTGTTGAGCCCCACGTGCGGTAGATGAACAGTCAGCTAAAGAAGAAGACGACGGTGAATTTGATGTGGACTGCCTTTGTTGAGAGCTAAAGAAAAAAATTTCAATATAATTGTAATTTCAGTATAGTTGTAAAATGAGCACCAATATGAGCGGAAAAAATTTTGAAATAAATTTTACATCACAAATTAAGTAAAATTATTTTTTACATAAGTTATCAAAGCAATAATGGATTTTATAGGATAAAACTGTTTGTTTTTAAAAGTATATTTGAATATTTATGTAATAAATAATAATAATTAGTACCAGTCAGTGGTAAGACATCGACCACAAATTGTTGTTGGTATTACTGTTGTTTGCTTCTGCTCTAATAGATGACGCCTTTCGAATAACATTACACGAGCAAATGGTTCTGAAGTTTCTCAAAACATCAATTTATTTTAAAAATTATAAAAATATTTAAAACTTTAATTTTACAATAATAAATAATTTAAACACATAAACTTACTATTGTTAAACGGCAATAATTTAGCCTTCTTTACAGTAGCAGTAACAAACTGCACCTGTGGAGCGTAAGTAAGAATCGCCAATACTTCTGTTACACACTTCATACCCTTAAAACCAAAATCATAAAGCAAAAATTTGTGTTCACTTTTGAGTTAGGCTTTTGCATTAAATTTATTCTTTGTACTCATTTTAACGATAATTAAATTTTTACATTTTAAAAAGCAATTAAAAGTTTAATTAAGTTTCAAAAGTTTTCGTCCAAAATTTTTTATTTTTTTATTCATGATAAAAGTAAGTAGCAACTAATAGAATAATTAAAGAATGTATATTTTTAAAGAACTAATGATAATAAATATTAATACTTATATATAATAACAATAGTGATAATAATATTAATAACAAAGTACTGAAGTAATCAAAAATCAATTTGTCAGTAAAAATTAAAAATAAATTCTTA